AAATCTGATTAGTGATTACTTATTCGCTTGTGGCGTCTCCTAAACATTTAGAGAATAATAATAAATAATTTCGACCATTTTTCAAAGGTACAGTTGCATCTAAATAAATATTTATTTAATATAATGTTTAAAAACTTACCTTAATTTTAACCGGCGAACAGTTACACAATGTACGAAGATGTCTTCTTCAAGAACAAACACGAGAACAACACTGAATATTTTTCTGAATTTTTTCTTTTCAAATATCCAAAGTGCAGCGGCCTAAAGTGTAGCGAGGAAAGTATTACACTACACCTGGTGAACACTTGCAGAGAATCAGTTGAAGCTTGCTACAGATTCTTTCACCAACATGAAATGTATTTATATTCACATAGGCTAATTTATTTGTAATTAATAATTTAAGTTTCACTACGTTTAACCTTAATTTTGCTTAATGAAATTATCTGCATTCCTTGCACTCATTACTGAGATTGATTTCTTCAGTGCTGACAAATGCAAAAATTTTCCTAATTGATAGACAATACATATGGAATAATTTAGTTGTTATATGAAAAGAGAAATAAAATAATTAATATCATTAATTAAGAAACCGATTAAATTGATCAATATAAATAAAATTAATTAAATAAATAAAATTAATATCGTTAATTAAAAGAAAATTAATTGCTATCATTAATCGAGAAATTAATTAAACTAATTAATTTAATTGATATCATTAATTGAGAAATTAATTAAATTGAAATTTAATTGATGTCATTAATCGATAATTTAATTTAATTAAAATTTAATTAATATCATTAATTAGTAATTAATTAACATCAAGGTCAATCAAAAGTCATTAAAATCGGTCGTAAGTGCCTCATTTACTACTCACCTTCTTCAGAAATAAAATAAACAAAAACTTAAAAATAAAAGTACCTAAACAAATAAGCATTTTTATTGTAAATAAAAAATATAATTAACTAAAACATACAGCTACATCAGCAATGCTTGCTTTCAATCACTAAGGGTGAGTTTATAGAAACCGGATTAAATATTTAATTGCAATTAAATTTAATTCGTTATGTGATTGGTTGAATTTTGATGAACGGGATTAACTTAATTTTGATTTGATTCATTTTCTGTAAACCAACCTTCAGAAATTGTTAAACTAATGTACATTTCAAATACTGCATAGAGTATTTTTGTTGAAAAGGTTTGATTTTATTTCTTATCAATTCATATTGGTTTATAGCAACGTTATGTTAACAACAATTAATTAACTATTATTACAGGAATTAATAAAAATGTGGGAAAAGTTTCATGAGAAACATTTTTGTATTCTGAATATAAATTTAAACAATCTTAGTTCCAAAAGCTTGAATATTGTTTAATTTGACAACATTTAACAACATTTTTCATATCCGGTGTGGTTTAGAAATGCTTTATTATGATGATTTATGATTTATTTCACACAGATTAGGTAGGAGTACACTCAAACCAAAATATCAAAAAATATTCAGGTTCATGGTTGTTACATTTGTCGTAATTCAGAAAGACCCAGTTTGAATGCATTCAAACCTATTTTTCCAATGTCATTTCCAGAAAAAAAATTACTGAATACATTTTTCAATAAATTGTTCTTAAAGTAAGGTTTATGTAAATGTTGTATTAATGAGAAAATATGTTCTTCAATTGAAGTTGCGTTGCAAAACACAGTGTCTAATATTCGTGGCGAAGGTATTTTTTTGAGGTAACAGTTTAAAATGCTCTTGTGGATGTGGTGATACCAAATTTAGTAAAAACAAATTGTCCTAAAGCCACACATACAAAAGGATATTAATAAACAAAGTGAAAAAATTTGTGAGCAATAATTCTGACAAAACTGCTAATAAGAAATGGTTTATTGTTAAAATGTTATTAGTGTTGTTTACTGTTTTTTTTTTCATTTTAAAGAAAGATTTTTTGTAACTAATGTACAGTTAAGTCTTTTTTAATTACTAGATACTTCTAATTAAAAATTTGCATTTACATGGATTACTCTTTAATAAAGTATGTATTTTATACTAATTTAAATAGGTGTAGATCTTTAAAATTTAATTGTCTTTGTAAAAAAAACTGTTTATAGTCCTATGATTCATAAAATATCTTTGAAAACTATTTTCTAAAGTATGGTTATTTATTTTTCGCATAAATCTGCAGGACTCAATCGTGAATTTTCTCTTACATGCTTATCAGCGCACTTGCCAACTGACTGCACAGTGATCTATATTTAAAATGTTGCTTTGTTGTACATTTATTGTACATTTGACCTGTTGTAATTCCGTAAAAGACTAAACCACATAAGTATGCATTTTGTTATCGAACTTTCCTGATCAGTAAACAACAAAGTACTTTTCCGAGTTACAACTAGTTGTTTATTTGAAACATTGATGAAGTCTCAAATGCTCTCTCGTTATCAGTGTAGTTTCTAGTTTGCAATTAATTGCGTTTGATCAAGGGACGTCAATTAATACCTCTTCCGATTGATGTTTCCACCACTATTCCAACCCACTTGAAGTAAGTCGAAATTAAAGGAATTTGCAAAAAAAGTTGATACAAACGACGAAAATAAGCTTTATTAAAACAATCAGAGCATATTTAGAATCGTTGATAGTTTACAAACAGTATTTACAACAGTATCCAAGATTGCTCAAACGATTACAATAAAAAAGTTGAACAATCTTAGCATAAACAACGAGTGTGTTATTAGTTTGAAACAGATCAGTGTTTTTATACAAGAATAATTTCATTTTTTAGAATATTCAAAATAACGTGAAAGACGTGGAACACTTAAAATTCATCATGCTTCGATAAAAAACCAAAAACGCGGTAAAATCAGCCTTAATTTATTCGTTATTGAATAGTACAAGACGAACTGTGATCGACGACACATTCGCTGCTTGGGTAATCGATATCCTCCTCGAAGTCGAAGTAATGGCACTGAAAAAAAAATGCAGTTAATTTGAAGGCTCTAGCTTTGAGTTTTGCTTTAATAACGATTCAATTTAAATTTCAATCAAAAATGTAAATTAATTCACAGCAGGTATTTTCTTATTTTTATTGAAAAATTTACCTGACATTTCTGAAATATTTTTCTGATAAAATTGCTTAGCTGACGTAAAAACTCGAGGATCGTTTTGAATTTGACAGTTCTAATATGGAATATCATTTCGAAAGCGGATATAAAGCAATTACTCTTTTTTTCAGGAATACATACACTTCAAGCAGGAATATTATTCCATAGGAACAAGAGATGCATATCGGGAATTTGTGCATAAAGTTTGAATTGTTTTGATGCAAGTTACTAGCATTGTCTTTAATGTTTACACATCAAACACATATTCAGACCAATGTAATTCATATATCCAGAGTAAACAGTTAGAGGCTTTGTTTGGACGCTCTAGCTGAAATTGAAATTAAAATTTCAAAGTAATTACGGCGGGAGCAAAATTTTCGAATAAAAAAAAGACAATATGAAAATAAATGTTAATACCATCACACATCACAGTAGTTTTACCTCATTTCTACAAGGTGAGTCTTAACCACGGTGTAAGATATTTAGGTGATGCAGCGAGCGTATGCACTGCGTTGGCTGAAGTGTGGTCAAACTGGTCACGCGATTTTTAGACAAGGAGGACATATGTGGGCCATTCGTTCCCGAAAGTCCGCCTAATAAAGTGCACCTGAGATGGTTACTTTAGGAATTTTATATTGTTCGAAAACATGTTTATACATTTTGAAATGGGAAAAAAATTTGTGTGCCCAAGTTTAAAAGTGGCTATGCTAAAAATAATGAAAAATTATCTTTATTTCCGATACCTACCACGGAAAATGGTGCCTAATCCTATAATTCCAAAAATTCTGTATTTTCACTGTAAAGGATCATGTGTGTAAAAAACATTTTAAAGCAAAACATATAATTCGTGAAATAAAAACTGGCGGTAAATCTAAAGAAAATTAATTAAAATTATAAACACCATAAAACATATTTTTTCTAGATTGAAACAGCTTTTGTCAAATTTTATCTCAAAAAGCCAAAATTAGAAGAAGAAGCAGTATTATTTTTCCAGATTGTCCAGGATATTGTTAAATTTGATCCACAAGTTAAACGAAGGAGAAAAGCAAAAAGAATTGAAAAAGCAACTCTAAATTTAAATTTTTTGGTTGCTGTTTTTAATAGTTATCAATAAATAATAATAATTTGCTTATTTATTTTAGTAGAAGAATCAAATATAGCTGAACTGAATAACTAACAAAATTTATTTAAAAAAATTAAAATAAGAATAAAGGTTTATTCTATTTATTTATTTACCTTCTAGTCTGTGGTCTTTACATTCAATTGCGAATGGTGATAATTAATGTAATTTCAATAATTATGAAATAAAGTTCAGTTCAAAGTAAAGTTATTTAAAAAAGTAGTAATCGCAAGGTATGAAATAAACTTTATATATTTGATCTCTCTGATTTAATTTTTCTCTGGATACAAAAATAACTACAGTCCAAAAACTGAATTAATTAACAACAAATTTTTGATAAATTGATGGTGTGTTACGGCAGTTTTACAATTCCTAATAATTTTAAATTTAGAATTAAATTTTACTTTAGAATATTATGCTCCTACAAAATATGTAGGTGTTTATGTTCTTGAAAAATCTTTGTCTTCGATATTCCGTTTCATAAAATTACCTTATTTAAAAAGAATTATTTTTAATTAAGTACTAATTTATTTAATTTTTTAATATACCTACTAATTTACTAATTATTTAATATAACAACAGTTTTCAAGTAAAATTCAATATGTATTTGTTTTACGTTTCGCAACAGAAACACATGTAATAAAAGAATGTTCAAGCAAAGCTTTATCATTTAGATAATATTTTTTATTATCCTATATTCCTTCATTTATTGATAGTAATGATGGTCCGATTACGCTATCTCTCTCTAAATTGAGCGTGGCCGGTTTGGCCACACGTTTGCAGGGCTCGCTGCATCACCTAAATATCTTACACCGTGGTCTAATACGCATAAACTTAGAGAATGATAGTTTTTGTCCAATAACAATGGATAGTAAAAAAAAGTTCTAGTGATAATTATTTATGTAACACGTTAGTAAAGTATATCTTTTTAAAAAGATACTTTATTAATGAGTTGTATACAAAGTTTTTTCACGTCCGTATAATAAAAATCAATAACTATCTACTTCAAAAATAGCTTTTTTTTTTAAAACATTGATATTATATGCAATTAATTAATACCAAAAATTCAAGTAAGAACTAAGTAAATTGCAAAATTAATGAGTTTTAATTTCTGACAAATGCCAAGTTTCATAGCAATAAAGACGGTTTGTATATTTTGTGCAAATATTTTGCATTAAAAAATGGTACACGCTACGACATTTTTTTTTCATTCAAATTTGTGAAAAAATGAAACGCTATGCTATGGCACTTTTTTTCACGCTTCCTGCGCGATTAATGAAAGGTATCTTTTTATAAACAAAATGCAAAATCTTACACTTTTTTCGACGAGCATAAAATAAAAATTAGATAGGTACCAAGATTTTGTCTGATAAAAATGCTGTTCAACTTTTAAATTATAAATAATACCAAAACTATTATTTTGATAAAGCTTAGTATACTGGTAAACATTGACTTCCTTAATTTATTAACATTTGAGAGTGATAATAAAAAAATATTATCAATGAATGAGATTTTTTTTGCTACAAGGTTCTTAATTTTGTACATCCCTATTTTCTGAACATAAATTAAAAAAATAAAAACTGTGAAATACGTGTCCCTATACTTATTTACTCGCTCTATAACATACAGAGTGCGTCAGAACTCGCGGAAACAGAGAAAAATGCCATATAAGGTAAGATACCAAGAACATTAAAAAAAATTAAAGAAAATTTTATCTATAAAAATTTGAACTTATGAGGATTTAAATTTTACATTTTGACTCTATTTATTTCTATTGGAAAAATAATTTTCCAAGTTTTTTTGCTATAGGCTATTAAAAGGAAAAACAAGGAAACTGTATCCTAAATTGTAACTCTGTTCAATGTTATTTGTGGCTTTTATTGGCAAAATTTTTGTACTTTTATTAAATAATTATAAGAAAAAAAACATACAAGATTATCAATATCCTTAAATAGATATAAAAAAAATGTCAAATGTCAAAAAATAAATCGAATGGCAAATTATGGAAGTCGATGTTACCAGTATACCGAGCTTGGTCAAAATAATGATACTCTTAGTATTATTTAAAATTTAATAGTTGAATAGTGTTTTTTACCAGACTGTGAGGCAATATCTCGGTAACTAAAATTTTTTTCCTACTACCATATACGAAACTAGATCATAACGCACAATTATACAGGGTGCGCCAGAACTCGCGCCCCAGAGAAAAATGCCATATAAGGTAAGATACCAGGAACATGGAAAAAATGTTAAAAAAAAATATCTATAAAAATTTCGAAGTTATGAGGGTTTAAAGTTTGCACTTTGACACTATTTATTTCTGTTGGAAAAATAATTTTCAAAGTTTTTTTGCTATAGGCTATTAAAAGAGAAAACAAGGAAGCTGTACCCTAAACTGTAACTCTGTTCAATGTTATATGTGGCTTTTATTGGCAAAATTTTTGTCCCTTTACTAAATAATTGTAAAAAAACATATACAAGATCATCAATATCATTTAATAAATATAAAAAAATGTCAAATGTCAAAAAATAAATATCAAAATTTTTTGACAGATAGAATTTTTTAAACATTTTTTTCATGTTCCTGGTATCTTACCTTACTTGAAAATTTTCTCTGGGGCGCGAGTTCTGGCGCACCCTGTATATGCACGAAAATTGGCAATATCGTACGAGGTCGAAAACCTGTGCGATTTGTTTTCGCACTGTGTGTTAGAAATCTAACGCACAATTCACACTCGAATGTTTTGTATTTTTTCATTTAACGTATTTTTTTTGTATCCATTATAAAAAATAAATCGTTATTCAACGTATTTTATTAAAATTTTATTAAAATTATTTATGGTTGTAGGAAAAATAGTGTACAAAACTTACAGGAAAGTGTCTAACGCACTCGCGGTATTGCCTGCACTCGGCTAACGCCTCGTGCACAACTTTCCCGCTTGTGCGTTATTTATCACTTTCCGTGCTCGTTATGTAATATACTATTTCACTACTTGTTATTAGTGAGTAAAAGCTATCATTTCCTAATAAGTTTATGTGTATGTATAAGTTAAGACACCCTGTAGCGACGTTCTGACGTTAAACTGGTTGTAAACACTTTCAAATAATACTACTCATAACAATTGTTTACAGCATAAAAATAAAACGCATTAAAGCTTTATGTTAGTTACGTAAAAGTTTATTGGTAGTTTAGAAAAAGTGAAATTAATAAACTTTCCAAATAACTTTTCAACAATTTAAAAAAAATTCAAAATAAGAACAGATATGTTGTAAAAAACTTAAATAAATAATAATATCTACTTCATCACTCACCTTTTTAAGTAGTTAAGCCAATCTTAATATTAACAGTATAAAGTTTGATTGATTTAGCCAACCGGTCATTGTCATATATAAAATAAAAATTATACAAAAAATAGTTCAATTTGTCGTTCCAAATGATTGACATAATATGGACTCTTTTCAATTAACAAGTTTTTTTTTATTTTAATTAAATACCAATTGGTTACTATTACATATTAAAATTTTAAAAAAATAAAAATAGTCCAACGTTTTTGCAGATCCACGGCGTATTTTTTATCTTCAAAATTTAAATTTAAAATAAAAAATATAGAATAAAATATTACAATTGTTTAATTGCACTAATTTAAAAAAAAAAACATGCTTCTATAAAAACTTCACTATACAGGGTGCCCCACGAGTAATAATGAGCCTGAAAATTGTTTTGAAGCAACCAACATAACATTTCAAAGATAATGGATATTAAAATATTTAGTTTTAATAAATTAAACATAGTGACCAAACAGCACTTCAACTTTAATTTATAAAATGTTAAACCTTGGAGAATTTGGTGAGAATTACTAAAATGTTGTCGAAAAGACCAACAAGATTCTCATTTATGAAGAATGTTTGAAAAACACTTCGCAGACTGCACGTTTCTATTCAGCGTGATATCCAAATAGACGGACTTTCTAAAACTGGAGTAAAGTCATTTTCACTGATAGAAATTTGTCAAAAATATAAATACGATTACTATGTTTAACAAATTAAAACGAAATATTTTAATATCCACGTTATCTATTAATGTTGGTTGATTCAAAACATTTTTCAGGCACAGTATTACTCGTGAGACACTCTGTATGTAATACTATGAAAAAAATGTGGTTGAGTTTTCATTATAACATGTGGAACAAAATTTTGTACCAGGTCATATTTATGATTTATTTACCTGACATTCTATACATTTGCAGTCATCAGTCTGTGAACAGGTGAGGCCCAATATCGAAGCCGCTTCTTCGTAGAGATCTATACTACTTCTCCTACTCCTGCAGCCTTCCGAAACTGGCGAAGAAGCAGACGTCGAACATTTATTATCAACTGTTGTTGTTGACTTATGACTCGTGTCTTGTCCTGACGAATTTGCAGACTTACTCTGAATAAAAAACTAGAAAATAAAGAAAAAACGTTTTTAATAAAAGAAAATTCGATTCGACAAAAATGAAATATGCTTTCGATATTTTTATGGTAATGGAAAACGGACGAAAACAAAGGAAAACAAATGGCCACGAAATAAATAAAAAGGAGAGTTGTCGAAAGAAAATCCAATTTTGCTGATAAACATAACTTTATACAAGTACGTTCCCAGAGTAGTTTCATTCATGAATACTTTTTAAATTCGATAGAGAAAGTGAAACAAACCCTAGAGACTCGCTGTAAATGTGACAAATTAATAATAAAAGTTTAGAACTTTTGAGATGTTGGGACCGAAAATTTTTGTAAAAGCTTGAATAAATAAATTTTAATTTGTAATTAAAACATTCCTCGGAATAAAAAGGCCAATATTGACACAACACGACGGCAAATATTTCCCCTTATTATCATAGCCCTCACCTGAGTCACCCCATTTCCATAAATAAACAAACCATCAAGTAAGCGCCGCTCACTTTAATTAACTCGAATTGGATTAAGGTCAAGCGACCGCACAAATCAGACTATATCATTCAAATCACATTTAAAATTAGATTTTTTGCCATATGTCATTACGTCACGCGATTTCAGCAAGATATATAGTGTCAGTTGACAAATACAATGTGGCGTAGTTTGTGCCCGGGGGATTCCCTGTCCGGTGTTCCTGACAGCCAACGTATTAGAGCGACCGGAAACAAGTCGCAAGGAAAAAAGAAAAAGTAGTAACGACTTGGGCAAACAGAGCTTGCTTGTTAACATTACCGCACGGTTGCTGGATTTTCCCGTAACAATCTTAGCTTCCGGAAAATTCTGAATAAACTTGAATAACAAAATAAAAGCGGGCTTCGGCAACGCTCCGATAAAGTTTAAATAGTGAAGAGCGATCTATGGCACTTGGGGGCTTTTCAGCGGTTTTTTGTGCGAGTTCGGAGACAAATTGCTCGACAAAACGGTCCTAAATGTCCGAGAAAGTGAGTAGAAGTTAAGAATCCGGTCAAAACAGACATTTCAAATAACTAAAATTCCGACGGAGCTAAATTTTGGTAGAGATTTTGGGTATACCATTAGAAATAAAGTGTCAAAAGCCCCCATGGATCCCAAGTGTGCTCAAAAAGTTACTCGGGGTCAAAGGTCAAAATTTAAAGTTTTTTAGATTTTTCTCGAAAACAGTAAGTTTTATCAGAAAAGTAGTTCAGACAAAAATTATAGATCTTAAAATTATCTACAAAAATGGTCCTTATACTTTTTCTTCTAAGAATCACCATTCCTGAAATATGGTGATTCAAAAAGTTGAAGGAGTCACGTTCTACATGATATGCACATACAGAGTGCGCCAGAACTCGCGCCTCAAAGAAAAATAGGGTAAGGTACCAGGAACATGAAAAAAATTAAAAAAAAATCTATCTATAAAAATTTCGAAGTTATGAGAGTTTAAATTTGGCACTTTGACTCTATTTATTTCTGTAGGAAAAATAATTTTCCACGTTTTTTGGTACAGGCAATTGGAAGCGGAAACAAGGAAGCTGTATCCTAAATTGTAAAACGCTGTTTAATGTTATTTGTGGCTTTTATTGGCAAAAGTTTTGTACCTTTACTAACTAATTATTAAAATACATATACAAAATCATCAGAATCATTAAATAGACATAAAAAATGTTAAATGTCAAAAAATAAATGTCAAAATTTTTTGACAGATAGATTTTTTAAACATTTTTTCCATGTTCCTGGTATCTTATCTTATTTGAAATTTTTCTTCTACTTCATTAAACTTATAAATATCTCGATTCCATTAAAATTAAAAAGAATTTATTTGGTAATACATACCGGCGTGTTCAAAAAATCGCGCATTTCCTTGAAAGGGTAGTCCCCAGAGTACTGAAAAAATGTTTAAAAAATTCTCTGTCAGAAAATTTTGACATTTATTTTTTGACATTTGAAATTCTTTTTTGTCTATTTAATAATACTGATGACCTTGTATATGTTTTTTTTATAATTATTTAGTAAAGGTACAAAATTTTTGTCAATAAAAGCACAAATAACATTAAACAGAGTTACAGTTTAGGATACAGCTTCCTTGTTTCCGCTTCTAATAGCCTGTAGCAAAAAAACTTGGAAAATTATTTTTCCAACAGAAATAAATAAGAGTCAAAGTGCAAAATTTAAACTCTCATAACTTTGAAATTTTTATAGATAGAATTTTTTTTTATTTCTTCTATGTTCCTGGTATCTTACCCTACATGGCAATTGTTTTTGGGGCGCGAGTTCTAGCGCACTCTGTATGTGCATATGATGTAGAACATTACTCCTTCAACTTTTAGAATAGCGATATCTCAGGAATGGTGATTCTTAGAAAAAAAGTATGAAGACCATTTTTGTAGATAATTTTAAGATCTATAATTTTTGTCTAGGCTACTTTTTTGATGAAACTTACCGTTTTCGAAAAAAATTTAAAAAACCTCAAATTTTGACCTTTGACCCCGAATAACTTTTTTAGCAGATATGGGATCGATGGGGACTTTTGACACTTTATTTCTAATGGTGTACCCAAGGTCTCCACCAAAATTTAGCTCTGTCGGAATTTTCGTTATTTGACCACTATTTTTATGACTAATTTGACCGGACTGTAATGTGTAATCAATCAGGTAATCACCTAAGCTAATCTACTTTAAGAAAAATAAAAATTAATCGAAGCAAAACACAAAAAATAGTTTATATTTTTTAGTGGAAACGAACGTAAAACCGGAAAAAAACACCAAATTTTTGTTATTCTGTGTCAGTTTTTTAATTAAAATATACCGACTGCATTTAGTTTGCAAAAATAAAATCGCATATAATTAGAAAAGTTTGCTCGATTTCCGAAACACTTCGTGGTTAACATAAAAATATTTCAACATTAAAGCTAAGCTGTGTGCCCATAACCATCGTACGTGAGGAAACTTTTTAACGTTTTGAAACATCGATTGGGAGTTTTCGTCTGAAAGCTCGGAAATATAATATATAAAAGGCAAGCTTCCGGTCCGAAATAATACACCAAGTTGGCAGTATGACTTACCTCTAGTGCGGGATTAAGTTTCTGTTTAAGTTTGGGTCTTGGTTTGTACTTGAACATTTCTCTTCCTGCGGGCGATGCGAATAAATTCACCAGATTGGTATTCTGGAAAAAAATGAGCGAGTTTTTCAGGAATGTTGAACAACAAATTGGAAACTCAAACAATTAGCTGCGTTTACCTCGGATTTCGTGTTGGTTTCCAAAAAGTAAATATCCTTGTGCGTGGGGCAGTTTATTATTTCCCCTTTCATTGCTGGAACAAACAATAGGGTCAGTTCTATTATTCCACAAGAGTAGTAGCATACATTAAGAATTTATATTGTTTAAGAAATAAAAATTCGATCCACGCATTGAATTATCACGTTCTTTTGATATTCAACAAAACGTAGTTTCTAATTGATGTAATTTTCTTAATATGTGGTGTTAAAACGCAAAACTCCAAAAAACAAAATAAAACTTTTTCAACTCAGTTATAATTAAGGGTTCGCTACATTTACGAAGAGATTTCATCCGGTTAACTTGTTCATTTAGTGCTCATTAAGAAAACGAAGCATGTTTTTTACATTTTTAACTCTTACTAGTACAAAGTCATTTACATTTTTCAAGCAACCACCCAACACCCTAAAATGACAAATGGAGAAATTATGTAGATGCGAGCTTTTAATGGAGTCTTCTTAATTGATTTCTCGACTAGCTGGGAAAGACAAGCAAGTCTCACGTCGCGAACTACTACGATAAAAATAGCTGTTTTCTCCCGATAACAACGTGAATTCTTTTTAATAAAATGTATAATTTTAGTCAAACGAAGAGAATTATAAAACATAAAATAGTTAACTTACGACTAAGCACAAGATTAATGAAATAATAATCTCATAGAAACATCAATTAGCAAACTTAAAAAACTCGGAATTGATTGTTGACGACACAATTTTGAGCATACCAACAGGCTCAGAAGATCTAATATTAAATACATTTAACAGTTGTAATCAAAAATTACAGTTTACCGTGGAATGTGAAACTAATTTTGCAATACCTTTCCTAGACTTACTAATTATTATAGAAAACCCGATGGCTCAATCATAACTGACTGGTACACAAAACCGACGAACTCAGGTAGAATACTCAATTACATATAACTTTCATCACCCCCTAAGCCAAAAATTATCGGTAGCAACTAGCCTTTTAAATAAATATCTACAACTTAGTGAAAAGTTGTTCCACAAAACCAACTTTAGAAAAATAAAAGAAATCCTTCATAATAACAACTATCCCGTTTCACCCATTAATAGCTTACATAAAAAAGTAATAAAAAAAAGATCCCAAAATCACAAAATAATTACCAACAATAACAGCGATGTAAAATTTTATAAATTTCCGTTTGTTGAAGAATTAACATATAATATTCAAAAAATATTAAAACCTTTACAATGTAAAATGGGATTAATAACATTCAGACAAACAAAAATAAATTCTTTACACAACTAAAACAAAAAACACCTTTGTTGAACGACTCATCACTAGTTTATAAAATTCCTTGCAACCATTGTGAAAAACGCTATACCCATTGGCCAAACAAAACAATATTTGAAAAAAGAATAGAACAACATAAGTACGATTGTAAATCTGTTAGATCTGATAAAACGGCATTATATTCTCATCATTATGAAACAGGACATCATTTTGCTTTTGACAGAACAGAGGTCCTTGAAAAAGAAAATCATTATAAAAAAAGAAACATAGCCGAAATGATACACATACAAACTAATAACACTGTAAACAAAAGAGAAGACACAAATAACTTAAGCAAAACATACAGCAGACTATTACATATATCGATCGATCAAGATAATTTGTAATTGAGTCAACCTTGGATTCGAAAACGTATGTCTGTAAAATGTCAAGTAAAATGACAAGTCGAAAAGTAAAATGGCATGATCAAAAAGGCGATGATTATAATAACTAAATTTATAATTTACCTTCAAAAAAGGAGCGGTCCTACTCGTGTTATTTATTATACGTCGACGACTAACTCCAGCCCATTTTGCCGTTTTACCTTTTCACTTGTCATTTTATGTGACGTTTCACGTGCAGTTAGACATACGTTCTCGGATGCAAAGATGACTCGATTACAAATTATCTTGATCGCTCGATATTCAGGGCGATTCAGATAAGATAATGAGCTTGACGATCCGGCGATGCAACCCAAAAAATAAATTTCATTTACGTCTTTGATCCAATTTAAATTAGGATATGCAACTTGAATCCTAGTTATTATCTTATGTGACTCTGACATCAGAACCATTATTACCATTCAGTTCTCGCGGAATGAAAGCGAAATTAGAAAAGTCTTTTCGGTGTAAACCCAATACAAAATGTAGGAAAGAATAAAACATTAAACATAGGCAAACAGTTTTTTGTATAAATTATAAAATGCTTACTGTCAGAGTAACATAAGATAACTTGGATTGCAAATGCAAATCGGAATTAAAATTAGATCAAAACGTAAATGAAATTTGTTTTTAGGGTTGCATCGCCAGAACTTCGGGCTCATTATCTTATCTGAATCACTCTGTATAAACAACAAAAAAAAACAAAAAAGGACTTCTGTCCTGTCAAAATAATTACATCTTGATACACTGTTCTAGTCAATATACAGGGTGTTCCGTTTATATTGTTACAAATTTAAACAGGTGATAGGATATTCAATTCTAAGACAAAAGTTTCCTATAAACATGTATCGAAAAATGCTTGGTAAGGGAGCTACACCCTCTGGAAGGGGGCTAATATGTTTTTGCTAATATTTCAGAAACCATGTAAGATAAAATTACAAAATTTGGTACAGATGCTAATCTTTATACACCTAAACGAATTCAAACATCAAATGTCGAAATTTTTAGTCAGGGGCGTACGAAACTGGGAGAGTTTAAGGTAAAAAATACCCTATTTATTTTGGCTTTAGTTTCTTTAGTTATGCATTGACCAAAATGGTGGTCACTTTGAACAACTCCTTTAGATTTAGGCAAATTCATTTAATTAATGTTATTATTGTTACAATAAGTCGTATCGACACAAGAGAGACTTTTCTGTGATAAACTATGTTGCTGAAAGTACCTAGAAACTGAAGCCAAAATAAATAAGGTATTTTTTTACCTTAAACTCCCACAGTTTCGTACACCCCTGATTAAAAATTTCGACATTTGATATTTGAATTTGTTTAGGTGTATAAAGGTTATCATCTGTACCAAATTTTGTAATTTTATCTTAAATGGTTTCTGAAATATTAGCAAAAACATATTAGCCCCCTTCGGGAGGGTGTAGCTCCCTTACCAAGCATTTTTCGATACATGTTTATAGGAAACTTTTGTCTTAGAATTGAATATCCTATCACCTGTTTAAATTTGTAACAATAAAAACGGAACACCCTGTATATCTTAATGTTAATCTCTCATAAGCTGTGATACTGATACACCTTGTAATCTGTGATACAGTGTTACTGTTTTAAAATATAACATGTGTGATATTTTTCGTAATAATTTAAATATGTAAGGTTAAGTTCGTCTCTATTTGTTTTGTCCGTTTTACAGCCAATTTTAACGTGTTTTGATTCAATGTGTTGTGTTTTAGCCTTTAGTTGACCAATACATTTTATGTTATTTTTAGATTATTTATTGTCAGGTTTAGTTGTTGGTTAGGGAAGTTTGATGTTACCGGGAATTTTTGTTGGTGGTTGAGCTTTTCAAAAACATCCGTCTTGCGCATAACAGCTGGCCAGTCCGCCCGTCTCAGTGTCATGCAAACGACTATATTGTAGCCTGAAGAAGATACAATAAAAGTATGGAAACATCGCGACTAATTTAATGGTTTTTATTTCCCTGTGTCCTATAAACCATCTTCTACGCAATCAGGTTATCATATTTCAAGGACAATAAACACAAAATGGTGAAATAATAAATTCACATCCTACTGTTTTTTAAATTTTTATTTTTCCAAGTAGAAAACAATATTATACAAAAGTCACGGTTTTATAAAAATAAATTAAACTCAAATGTAAATTTATTTTTACAAAGGTGCAACAATCATAAATAACAAATATTTAGTCACAGTTTACCAAGATAATATTTTTTAAAAGCGCATATAATATGGTGGTCGACTTCTATATCTAAATCTACCCATAGAGGAGTGAAAGGGTGGTGGAAAAATATCTCTACCAGGAGGATAACGGAAGACCCTTTCAGTAGTACTAGCTTCTTGAGTGGAAGTTGTTACCTTTTTGTCTTCAAATTCCAGCAAACATTTTTCATCCCACAAATTAGCACTCACATCGTATCTTTGCACTGTTTTCATTTCGGGTAAAGTACAAACAATGCGATTGTTATTCAGTTTTAAATCCATAATTTGAATCGAATTGCTGAAAACCTTGCTAGGAAGAACATTAATGTTATTATGGTCTAAATACAATTTGTTAAATTTGTAATTGGAAAAAGCTTCCTCATCTACTTCTTCAATACGGTTGTAACTAAGAATTAGGTCAATACTGCACGACCAAATTCCTCTTCTATCCAAAATTCTGGCTGGCAAAGAAGTAATGAAATTGTTTTGGAGGTTGAGAGAACATAAGTTGGGAGTTAATTTAAACCACGTGTTTTGGTAAGTTTGAATCCTGTTGTTTTTCAACTTGAGGCTTCTCAGATTGTGCATATGTCCAAATGCCGTACTTTCGATCCTTTCAATTTGATTATCACTTAGATCCAATTCTTCAATGTTGGTTCCAGAAAAGGTATTATTTTGTATTTCGGTAAGTAAATTGTGCTTGAGACTGAGTTTCCGTAAGTTTTCTAATCCCCAGAAAGAATTTTTTTCAACCGATTTCACATTGCAAAACTCAATTTCTAATTTTTTCACTAAGGAAAGTTTCTTGAAGATTTCACGTGTAATTGTAGGAATGTTCTCGTAGGTGATATGAATGTGGTCTAATTGATTCTTAATTTGTTCATTATTAAACGGAGAATTAAGTAAAGGTGAATCATTTTTGTAATAATCACACAACACAAAACTGTAATATGTTGTCAAGAAACATAGAGACAAAAATGTGTAACTAGTCATTGTGACGAAAGTACAAACACTAACTTAACAAGGTGATTATTTAAATATTTCATTATCGATTTTGTTTATTAAAAACGTTTATGTGATTTCAAAGAAGACTTAATTAATAACTTGAGGTTAGGAGGTTACAAAGATAAAAAATATTTTGCAATTCATGCAAACGCATTGTAAACATAACACTGATTATAGGTATAAAGTGTTCAAAAGAATAATTGCATATTTTTCATGAAACTATTTGGTAACTTTCATTCTCTAAAAATGTGTTGTTTTTGTAATTTTTTAAGTAATTTCTTTGAGACAGTTGCCTCATATTTTCGTCAAATAAGCTTTGACTATATGCTTTTGGTTAAAACTGTATAGTATACAGTCAAAGAGATAATTTTATAAAAACAACATTTGTTTGTAAAGACATATAAGCGTTAATAATGCTAATTAAATTAAATGAACTCTTTATAGCAATAAACCATGTGGCATTTGAACTTAAATTTTCCTTAAAAACATTAAGAGTATTCTTAATAAATCTGCGTCAGTTATAAAACACAAGACATTAACCTCCTTTTATTTATAATGTATGAAGCACTCTAACTTTCTACCAACTCTAATGGAACAAAACAATTTTTTGATCCAGTTAAAAATTTACTTAGCGAGTAAACAAGAGATGTGAAAAGAGATGATTTTTTTACAGTAAATTATTCTGTTGTGTGGACCATATATACTAGATGAAAACTGCTACAATTGAAAGAGAATAATTTAAAGTATTCTCGAGCTTAATGAGCTTTTATGGATTCGCGGTTCTTTGTGTGCTTTCAACGCAACTCCCATTCCCCGTTGCTATTATCCTGAGTTTGAGAGATATAAAGAAAAATGAAAAATATATTATACATAGGTGAATGTTTTGTCACAATATTGATTTTAATAAAAAAATAATAAATTATAAAAAATTATTTCCTATTTGAAAACAGAATTTTTCTAAGTAATTTTTTCTTTGTAAAATACAAATAGAGACGTTAGTTTTTTCTGTTACAGATTTAGTGTTTGTATAAAGACTCGTAAAGTCGCAGGGATATATTCAACCTTCTACCATCTTCTCTACTACTCTCTTTAATTAATAGGAACGATGTCATAAACACACCGGCACTATACCTACTATTTCAAAGCCGGTGATGCATTGAGAGGCTAATAGTCTGATGTAGTGTTCCAGAAACATAACTTTCTGTTTCCAAACAAAAAATAAACTTCACAGAAATAAAAACTACATTTTTCGCTATTGTTTACAATGCTATCACAAATATGTTAGTTGTTGTGATAGACTGAATGAGATTAGTACTTTTTTTAATCAACTATGTTTTCCAATTTACAGCGTTTATTTAAATAGCCTCATCAATAAATAGCAGGTCATATGTTTGTTGGGTGATGCAAATATTGACAAAATAAACAAATACTAGTGCATGTGGGCAACTAAAATGAGCGGTCAGAATAAAGACAATTAACACGAATTACAAACATAAATAGTAATATCATGCAAATACACTAAATCAAATGTCAGGAAAATTAATTAAACCAAAACATGGTTAAAATTTGCATTAATAAATTGTGCGCATAAAAAATACATTGTTTTATTTATTTTTATTACTAAAATTGACCGAAAACATTAATTTTCAAAATTAATTAAACGCTAAATATCACATCTTTTTCCAGAACAAATGGCGAAAGGTCAGACTTGTGTTAAAATATATGCACTTAACCCTATCGAACCCGCATTGCCTCACATCTATTCCAAATTAAGCTCGCTAATATCTTACGACCTCATTGCGGACATAACTCCAAAAAGCCATGTTCTAACACGCATTCTATAAATCTTACAACCCCTTGTCGCCATTACTCTGTAAAGGGGACAGAGACAGTTTAAATAATTGCCAGAAGAACATGTACCAGAAAGCGGAATGTTAGTAGGTTTTCAAGAAAACATAGAGAAAAAGCTAAAACTATTCCTTCAGTCATAAATAACCAGATGTTAAAAATGTGAAAAGAGTCATCCCTAGAGTTGCATAATCTTTTTAGTACTAGATGGGGGTAGTTTTAGGTCAAACGGACTGTTTCTTTATGTAAAACTAAACAAAAACATTTATGTTACTAGTAAACAATATTTTCTTAGAACAATTGATAAGAAAATATTAATTATACTCGTAAGAACGATTATATGGTAAACAAGTGTAATTAATTATTCGAAAGTTGCAAAATTAATTTAGTGTACAAACATATTGTGTGGTTTTAGAGTAAATATTAAAGAGGCTGCTACATTTCCTTCGTGTTAATTTTCATTATTTATGGTACGCAAATTTGCGCATATCAGAAACTCACAGATTTACAAATTGTTAATTTGACTCTGAAGCAAAAAGACGCAAACAAAACATATTTTATTCTTTCCAGACTCGTTCTATAACTTTTTATGAGAAAAATTAATGGGACTGTTTTCCCACAGAGAAGAGTAAAATTCACGAATCCTGGAATCATCGTTCCAAGTGTACATTTCTGAACTTACAAAGCAGAATTTTCTTATTATCAATATTGTATATTGTTATCAATTTAATATTGTTATCAATTATCATGTAGACATATTTTCAATCAATTTATCAAGTGGTGAAAATCGTCAAGCTATTTTTTAACTGTGTCGAAGGTAAGTTTGAAACGCTATATACAGGTGTCCCAGCGAATTGAAAAAGTCCATTAGAGACAAAATTTAAAAAAATTATATAGGACATATACTAATAGATAATAATCTCGTGTATCGCTTAAAGCTATTTTCAACTATACAGCGTGTCTCAAAAATAAGTTACAATAAAAACTTGTGTTTTTTTTTAAATGAAACACCGTATGTATTTTTAAATGTAGACTTTAGAACCACTTTTATTGGTCAATTTAGTTATAAAAATAAGACGGTTTTTTTGACGAAAACATGCACTTTTTAAAAGTTTATTACACAAAAACTAAGACATTTACAAAAAAATAATTTACAACTGCAAAGAAGAAGGTACAAGCTATAAGGTTGTAACATTTTTTCAGTGTGTTGCATTTGCAAAGATAAAAAAATGAAGGCGTTTGTTAAAAGTTCAATAACTTAAAAAATTTAAATGGAACACCCTATTTATTGTTTTTGCATTTAAAAGATTATTAAGTTGTATTTACTTTTAGGTGTTTATAATCAATAACTAAAAAGTATTTAACGTTAAACATTAAAAAAATAATTACTATTATTTCACTAGCCAAAAAGTACACAGTTGCACAAGAGATGGAAGAAATATCACTTAATGATCACATTTGTGTTAAACTGAATCCATTATTCTTTATTTTTACAATAAAATAATTCGAATTTCAATATTTATAACAACTTTTACAATCTCTGAATAAATTAACGGATAAGTGATCCGTGGTGGAATTGCTATAGTACTCGAATCAACAATGCTCAGTATTGATAGGCATTGTTGCTACAAATAATATTGAATGATAAATATTTTTCATTAAAAGTTTATTTTTTTAGATAGACAATTTATAAATCTATTGGATGCAAAAATGTTAAATGTTTTATTTAAATTTTTTAAGTTATTTCATTTTTAACAAACTTCGTCATTTATTAATCTTTACAAATGCAAAACACTAAAAAATTGCTACAGCTTTAAATTCTATACTTTCTTCTTTGCAGAAGTAAGAAAAATTTGTTTTAGCTGTTTTAGTTTTTGTGTAATTTTTTTTTAAAAAGTGCATATTTTTATCAAAAAACGTCTTATTTCTAAAACTAAGCGAAATCGTCTAATGAAAGTTTAGTGTAAAAACATGGTTCTAAAGTCTACATTCAAAAATACATACGGTGTTTCAATTGAAAAAACACAAGTTTGTATCGTAACTTATTTTTGGGACATGCAGTATAGTTGAAAATAATTTTAAGTGATGCACTAGACTAATCTAGTACCTATAAATGTTTTATACATTTTTTTTTTAATTTTACCATTTATATTAAACGTCACTAATGGACTTTTTCAACTCGCTAGGACTCGGTGTAGTTATTTACGTATTTAGAGCTGTTAAGAAGGCCATAACGACCGAGGGAGTTGTTTATCGTTAACAGCACGTGGTACGTAGAAAGTTTTTCATCGTATTAAATTACCATATTTAAAAAAATTAATTTTGAAATTCTAAAAATTAAATATTTGAAGGCTTCAACTGTCACAGCTATCAAATATCCGAACGTTAAAGTCAAAATCAGGCTGCTGTTAAAACCTCTTAACATTTCTGTCTAATACTAGGGTGATATTGACAGCTTAACGATTGTACATAAATTGTTGAATGTTATTTATACCATAACAACATAGAAAGAAAAAAAAATATGTGACTCAGGGGTGCGTGCATGCTCAACAACTTTTTTTCTATCGAAGTTAACGACATGATTTTTTTTAAAGGATAGATACAACAATGAGGCACATTATAAAAATATTTCTATTCATATACATTCCCAAATAAGATACACAACTAAGTTCTGTTTGTTTAAATAAAAAATGCCAATTTTTTATTACATTTCTGGATTCGCCACTAAATTGTCAATATACCGCACCTTGGTTTCTTAGACTTACCTGCAATAGTTTTTGACTTATGCCAATTTATGTATCAAAATTACGTCGTACATAGTACAAAAATTAATAACTTAAAACTTATTCAAGATAATTTAACCAACTTTTTTCCTGTTCATTCCTTAAGCTTTGGCGCGTCTTTTGAGATAAAGGCAAACTCGGAATCGATGTTCCATCGCGTAATACGATTTTTTGAAAATGACAAAATACAAATGGCAGTAACTCGACTTTTTCAAATACAACACTCTATATTTTATTGCATCATTGCATGCCATTTTTTATGAGCTCTTTGTCGATATAGGATTTATGGGGTCTACTTTGTAAAATTTAAGAGATTTTTGCAAAATAAGTAATGTTGATGTTTTTTTTTTTTGAAAAAAAGAAATCGAGTAGGCCGTTTGACACATCTATTCAATTCTGGAAAAAAAGTGTTTCAATAAAAGGAAATTGTTATAGAGACAGGAGTACATCACAATAAAGGAAACAATTTTAGTAATCTTTACAAGAATAGGAAAAAATGATTAACAGAAAACAATGTAAAAATTTTATAAAAACTGCTCAAATAGGTCACCATCATGTTCAACACAAGCTGCCAGTCTTTTAGTAAATGAGCTCCGAACTCTAGCTAGCATTGCTCCATCAACTGAATGGAAAGCTTCCGTGACCCTGTTTTTCATATCATCTGCAGTTGTTGGACGATCTCTGAAAACTCTTTCTTTCACGTACCCCCAAAGAAGGAAATCGATGGGAGTAAGGTATGGAGTTCGTGCGAGCCAGGGAATAATACCTCCTCTGCCTATCTAACGATTAGGATAGGATATTTCTGACGATACATTTTGCTTGCTAATGAAGGATTTCTGTGATCTTCACCAATACAGTAAACCATATTCACTAATTCTACAAGTGTCAAATTTTACCATAGCAGCCTCCTCGATTCCTTTTTTTTTTTTAGAAAAAACCATCAACATTTCTTATTTTGCAAAAATCGTACAAATTTTACAAAGTAAACCCCATGAACCTTACATCGACAAAAAGCTCATAAACAATTCCATTTAATGATGCAATAAAATATAGTGTTGTATTTAAAAAAAATCGAGTTATTGTCATTTTCAAAAATTGTAGTAGGCGATGGAACATCGACTCCGAGTTTGCTTTTTCCTCAAAAGATGTGCTAAAGCTTAAGGAATCGACTGGAAAAAAATTGGTTAAGTTGTCTTGAATAGTTTTGAAGTGATGAATTTTTTGTGGGTCCTATGCAAGATGCAATTTTGACACATAAATTGGCATAAGTCAAAAACTATTGCAAGTAAGTCTAAGAAACCAAGGTGCGTTATATTGACAATTTAGTGGCGAATCCAGGTATGTAATAAAAAAATGTGGTTTTTATTTAAAAAAACTGAACTTTATTATTTTGAACATCCTGTATATGAATAGAAATATTTTTATAATGTGCCTCATTGTTGGATCTATTGTTTAAAAAAAATCATGTCGTTAACTTGGATAGAAAACAAAGTTATAGAGCGTGCACGAACCCCTGGGTCACTCTGTATTAAATAAAGCTAAGGTAACATTAGTGTCATCTACATAATTATTATTTACTAGCTGTTGCCCGCGGCTTCGCTCGCGTGGCAGTTTGACATCCACAACTATTTCAAAACGCTGAAGGGCTAAGAAACTTACTAACAAAATAGAGCAACACATAATTTATTATGAACTTCGTAGTAAAAATAAAAAGTCCGTCTTTTATAACTTATTTAAAAACCGTAAAATTTTAAGTCTTATTTCATGGATATTACTTAACAATGACAAATTTTGATACAAATTTTCATTCCATGTTTAACTATACAAATTATATACAAACATTCATCCCTTATTTGACCCCCTTAGGGATAGAATTCTCCAAAATCTTGAAACACGTGCTATTTTGTTTTTAACTGAACACCTAAATATCAATTTTCATAGATTTAACTTTAAAAAAAAAACGGATATTTTACGAAGTTTTGCCCTTGTTCAACACCCTTGAGGGTGAAATTTCCAAAAATCCTGAAACACGTATTACTTGATTTTTAATCGAAAGCCTAAAAATACAAATTATCAAGGATTTAACTTTATAAATGACATATTTTAATACAAATTGTCATCCCTGTTTAACCCCCTAGAGGGTAGAATTTTCAAAAATCCTAAAACACGTGTTATATAAATTTTCATCCCTTGTTTGACCCCTTTGGGGATGAAATTTTCCGAAATCCTAAAACACGTGTTTTTTTGTTTTTAACTGAGAGCCCAAATACCAATTTTCATGAATTTAACTTTAAAAAAAATACAAATATTTTACGACCTATTACCCTTGTTCAACCCCCTTGGGGGTGAAATTTCCAAAAATGGTAAAATACGTTATGTTTTGTTTTTAACTCAAAGCCTAAATACCAATTTTCATGCCTATAGCTTTCAAACTTCTAATTCACCACCCCATTTAACCCCCTTAGGGGTTGATTTTCCAAAAATACTTTTTTATTGGATGCCTACGTTATAAAAGGTATCTACTGTAAAAATTTGAAATTTCTGTCTCCAGCGGTTTAGGCTGTGGGTTAATAGGTCAGTCAGGACAAGCCGCTTTATATACCGGGTGTCCCACGCAGGCTTGGATATAGGAAATTAACATGGGAAATTAGTTTTTATTTTTTTCCGGCTGCACGAATAACAGAAATCAAAATCTAATTGATGGAGCTTGTAGTGCTCGAAAAGGGCTATCTTATCGACATTTATGTCTATTCTACAATTAACTCCATTTGGGCGAAAACGGCCCTCGAAAAATCGAAATTTGAATTTGCCGCGTTAGCGTTACTAAGAAACGAACTATTAAGTCTTTGTTGCCAACAGGGACTTTGTCAGCTAAAAACCCTTGCAATGATTGTGTTTTCCGAATGTTTTTGGAAAATGTTAATTTTCCAATAAAACACATCAATAATTGAGTGAAAATGCTTTTCAAGCCAAAGTAAAATTTGCTTGCATTATTGAAGTGACAAGTCATTTGAGATTATAGTTGAAATTGTCAAGTTGAACATTTTTCCACACTTTATTCTATAAATTGGACCAAAATTACAAAATACTGCATCAGAGGTCGAAAAGAATGAGTGCAGTAAGTAACGTTTATTTTTTTTTACACTTCCTTTGATAAAAATTAAAAATTCTAATTTTTAGGATGAAACTTTCGATCATCGATTGAATTAATACACTGTGTTGATCGATCGTTGATTTGTGAAGGTTGTTTATGCAAAAAACAGATCGAAAATTGAGTGAAATGGTTTTCATGAAACCGCAAAATTTGCAAACTAGAAATTAGAGTGAGATGTTAAGCGAAAAAATTGGGGGTTATGTTGATGGTGTGAAATTGAGAATCATTTTCATCGTATTCTTCCTTAGAATTGTATCAAACACGCATAGAAATCCATCAACAGGCTAAAAAAACACGTTCACAAACATCATACAGTAAGTAATCGTTATTTTAGCATCGGTGGACTAAAATMTGATTTTTAGATCTGAACTTCGATCGACGATCAAATACATTGCATGAGATTAAAAACCCCGAGACTCCGAGGAGAAAGATGCCCTAATTTTTTTTTCTAGATCATGTTTGTGAATTTTTTGCTACGATATTAGAATTTTTACTCTTGTTTAATTTCTGAACACTACAAAACTAAAATCAATATTTAAAATGTATTCCTTGCTGAAAATCATAATAAAGATAGTATCATGTTGGCGACAATGACTTGATAATTCGTTTCTTAGTAACGCTAACGCGGCAAATTCAAATTTCGATTTTTCGAGGGCCGTTTTCGCCCAAATGGAGTTAATTGTAGAATCGACAAAAATGTCGATAAGATAGCTCTTTTCGAGCACTACAAGCTCCATCAATTAGACTTTGATTTCTGTTACTCCTGCAGCCGGAAAAAAATAAAAACTAATTCCCATGTTAATTTCCTATATCCAAGCCTGCGTGGGACACCCGGTATATAAATTATCTATAACCGCAAATAAAAAATTAAGAAAGTTCTTATAACAAAAGTTTTAATTATTATACGAAGATTTGGCAGGACTTTTATCTGGGTGAGCCTTAAATTCAAGACTCGAGACCATGTCTTAACCCTATTCGCAAGAGCAGCTGTAATGTTTTACAGCTTACTCCTCAATCGCCGAATACCGGCTACTCCGTTTCCAATTAATGAGGGTTCGACCATGTCCTCACTCCTTTTCCGGTCGAAAGGAACGTCACATCTTACCATCCACGGTCCATTAGGTCCAAGTTCGGGAGTGGTTGCCGATCCTCCATCATCCTCTTATCTTCGGCTCCTTGTTGGCTCGTGATTAATACCCGAGGTGAGAGACTCAATCCCGCATTGCGTAGAGAAGTTCATAGAGAAAAGCCGATTCTAATTTTCTCTCAACTATTTTCTGTTTTTTCGTTTCGAGGTTTTTAATAAAAAGAATGTTAGGTGTCTTACATCTGGCGAAGATGGCGATAGAAGCGCTTATTGCGATTGTAAATTTCAATTTAATGCTGTCAGCATCATGCACACCAACTTTTCAATTTTTTTGCTAGATAAAACTCTAGACTAGGTATATGGAGAAAAGCCACTAGATAAATTATTGTTGCAACAGAAATAAAATCGATTCAAATTCACAAAGTTTAGTAACTATAACTGTTAATTTCAGAATGTAATCATTGTTTTGTATTGTTAACCTAACAAGAGATTGGTAACCGGCAGAGTTCATAAATTAATCTGCTTGGTTCTAGACGGACATGGGTTGCACCTACCATAAATACAACAGTCATTCTCCACAACTAGCCGTGTTAATTTATAGAATACAGACCCTGATTAAGGACTATAATTAGGGCACCATTAGAAGTAATTAAGGGATGTTGAACTACGTCAGCATCCCTTAGAGAGTTTCCTTTTAAACTACACAAATTTATTGCCGCGTCTAACGATACAAGCTAAGTTGAAGCTAAATGTTGGCATTTTATGTAAAGTTAATAATACATGTCATTCAAAAACTTATTCACTTCATTTTTGAGTGTACTAGTACATTAATGATATATTGATTTAAGCTGTTGCCTTTGCAAATGTGACAAAGAATCAAAACTAAAATTTAAAAGAATTTTTTTAAACTGTAGAATATGAGAGTGAAAGAACGTAAGGATAAAGAAGGGAATGTAAAAGCGTGAACAAAAAGTGTAAAGGTATTACAAAAATATGAGGATTGAACAAAGTATTGAACAAACAATAAATATAGCACATAATTTTTATTAATACTAGATTAAAAAACAAGTTTTACAAACACTCTCATTGTGTTACAATCACGAGTATCGCAATGAGAAACGCGTTTTTATACCATTTTTTATATTGAGCGCATTTTAAATTGAATATATTATTATACATATTTGATAGTTAAAATTTTTGACATTTGACGTATGCGGTACCCAAATTGCTGGAAAATAGCTTAAATTGCATAATAAGTGACACACCTCCAGCCACCCTTAGGTAATTATAATAAAAAATGAAAATTTAAAGTCTTCGTTTTTGAATAATTGGAAAACGGCTTTACCAAATAGGCTATTGTATGACAATTTTGAGCGCTTGTTATGAGCTTTTCAATGATGTATCACAATTAGAGTAGTGCCATTTAAAATTTTCAACTTGGAGTAGCTATGGCTTCAAGGGTGGGTGGAGATGCGTCACTTATCATGTCATTTTGAACCATCGAAACGGTTTTGAGTAATTCGCAATAACTTTTTCAGTTCTAAAGATATTGCCGATTGCAAGTTTTAAAATTGACACCCTGTATATTGCTGCTAAGGCCATCAACAAGTTATGATATTTTTTCAGAATTTTTGATTTACTTACAATTTATTTTTTATTCAGTATAGTTCAACCTTAAACTTAATAATACTAAAAAGAATTGTTGCACTATAGTTTTCCATTTTTGGACCTCAGATATTTTCTTATTCAACAATAGATTTCTGCATTTCCTATCTTAAGAGTTACAGGAATTAAAAAAAGCCAATTAATCTTATAAAAAAGCCAATTACAAACATCGTAGCATCTTACATCCTTTAAAAAACGAAGAAAAAAAAATTTCCTGCTAGGATATTAACTTACGCCACGACTACATCGCCCCGAGTGAAACGTTTCACGGCAGACTGGCTCCTTAAATCTAATTTTATTAGTCCCGTTAAAGGTGTTTACTTTTTTGCTTCTGTATTTAAATTATGTTCCGCCCCAATGTCTTCCGGAGTAATTCTGCGGGAGGAAGTCAAGTTTATCTCAGTAATAAGACGCAAAAGTAACAAAGTTACAATCAGGAGAAACGTCAGGGCATTTGTCAAGGCAAATATAAAAAATAAACAAAGTTTTCACTTGGAAATGGTCCAAACTGGCCGATAAAATTATGCACAATTTGGCAAGAAATTTTGAATCTGCGAGAAATGAAAATGATTAATATGTGGGAGTGTTGTTGCAACACTGTGTTGTAGGGTTAAAGGGACAAAGAGAATATAATCGGTGGGAGAAATGACAGGTGCCTCATATAGGTAAAATGTATTGACACAGTGAATGTGCATATATTATAAACTATTAATTATTCAAAGGGTTAATTGAAACGGGATTTCTGAATCGTTTTAAAGCGATAGAACCATTTACAAATTACAAAAGGATAATTAACCAATTTGATGATAATTGAAAATTCCCTTTGAACAGAGTTCCAGGTTGCTCATGTTATGGCTATTGTTATTAGCAATACCAAAATAAAAAAATTCAATTTGCATGCAATGAGAAATTGATTGTTTAGTAATTTTTTTTTGTTTTTCGATTTAGGTGGCACAGTTTAGAGTTGTTTTTCAAAGTCTAATATTCTAATATTCATGTGGCCACATTTTATCACAAAAAAATAAAAAAGAGCTACGAGTATATTTTCTGTTTGTTGTTTTAAAATTAGAAAAATGTTACTAAATCTTACACCCACTTATGGTTAAAAATAAGAAACAACTTTTTCATTGAGATAAAGCTAAAATTTTCTCAAAGTCCAGGAGCTAGTGATTTTTTATACTAATTTTTCTAGTCATCGCTATTGACAGAATTATTTACATGGTGAAGCTAATCAACAAATTCTGAGTCAAGCAGTCCGGTGGGTTCATAAAAGAACAAATTAAATGAGTTGAACTTTTTTTGTTATAATTTTTTTTATTTACTAAATTAGGTAATAAATACAGATTGGGTTATAAGAAACGCCTCAAGTCAACTCCATTATTTTTTTATAAAGGTAAAAAAATTGTTATAAATAACCATTAAGAAAAATTGCATAAATTAAAAAAAGGAAACAGAACTTTATTTTCAAACCATATCCACATTTTTATACCACTTAAATTATATAGATTTCTGAACGCAAATGTTTAAAAAAACCGGCTAGGTTACGTACTTTTTATTCACGTTACATCGACTTAATTGGGTCTGGGGAGACATTACTGTCATTTCATTATTATTAATTTGGTAATCAATATGTTTAACTTCAAAGAAGATCCTCGCTTTGATATTTAACACAAAAGCTTGAAACATCGTGTTGTATGTAAAGTGTGTACTTTTTGACATGTTCATGTGTCAAGTAAAAAATATCACGTTGTATGTACTATGTAAAATGTCGAGCATTAAATTTTGGTAGTCAATGTCATTGTCTAACATGCTCTCTTGTGAAACGATCATGTAGATGTCAAATAGCTCTCTTAAAAGTGATGGAACATTTTACGAGCCCCAACTGAACAACTACCTCAACTTAAAAAAATCCTCTCTCCAGCATGGTAATCATTTTCACTTTGTTGAAGTTAGAGACTGGCGACACAATAAAATATTCATTAATTAGTTTTTGGCGTGATGTTTTGACATTTATATTCATTTTTGAAAAAAGATTGACAACAGACAAAATTACACAGGGATACTACTTTTTTGACAAAAAGATAAAGTTTCAAGATGACATTACATACCACAATTTAATGTTCGCCATTGTACACCCGGGGAAAAAACTATTTACCAGTCTAACTTTCTGCTCACACTGCGCTTTGTTGCAATAGTGTTTCCGACTAACTAGTTGAGGAGCAGGTAATATGTATTTAGGAAGTTGGTCCGGACTCGGAGATACACGTTTCTTCAAAACGGTCTTTTTCTAAAAATTTCTTCAATGAGTATAGATTATTAAATGGTGGTTCTGATTATAATAATTTGCAAAATGGCACTAAGCAAATTTTAGAGAAAAAAATGCATGCCACTGTATTTTATTACCTTAACACAATTTTTGTGATTTACTTTTAGTTTTATTAACAAATAGCTAGTTTCTTCTGTTTTTTATATGTATTTATTTTTATTACTTCTAAACAAAGCAAAAAACCCAAAGTGGTAAATTTAATGCCATAATAATAATAATAATAACTAATATTATACAGTATGTCCCCGGATTTTTTTATTTTACGCTAACACTGCAAAAGAAAAATATTTTTTGCTTCACCTGAAACCAGTAAGTCTGTAATTTTAAAAGTTTATTATTTTCACTCAGTGAAAAGAAAATGTAATTTTTCTCTTGATTTTGAGCTTGTAATAACTAATAACACTATAGTCTACAAACAATAAGATGCTTAATATACCTTTAATCAAATAATTATTTTTATGTTAACTTACCTTTAATTAAACAAAAATAATTTTTTTGTTACAGACGA